AAAGTTAAATTAGATAAAGTTTAAACAAAAGGATTTTATTATCATAGACATGAATACAAAAAAGTTAAATTAGATAAAGTTTAAACAAAAGGATTTTATTATCATAGACATGAATACAAAACAGATGGCGCGTAACGGAAAAATGTGACGCGTAACCGAAAAATGTGACGGTAAATTTTTTTCCAACGCCGATAAGGAAGTTTCACTTCAATAAAAAATTTAAAAAGTAGCCTATGTTCATCAGGGACAATGTCGGCTTCTAATGGAAAAATAATTTTTCAAATCGGTCCAGTAGTTTCGGAGCCTATTCGAAACAAACAAACAAATCTTTCCTCTTTATAATATTAGTATAGATAGATCATTCAGAAAGGTCCGACTGTTGCGCGACAAGATCGTAGGACCGACCCGTGCGGGCACACAGCACTCCCCGCCTAGTGGTCCCTAATCTAAACTGTTCTTAAAGCAGATCGTGATGCAAGTTTGTACTAAACAGCTTCTATTGTACATACTGTAACGGTATTTGTTACACCCACCGGCAGCCGCAGTGGAGATAATGAGATCTTAATAAAAATATGCTCAAGGCGCCTTATAAAATAAAAGATGAAATGCAGTCACACACAAAGACATATATTAAATAAACACACACACGTATACAATAAAAGAAATTAAAAGAGAAAACTAACATTACTTAAACTAGATTGTACAATTATTAGGGTTATAAAATGAATGGAAGGTAATTAACAAGTTCTGCGATGAAACAATAAGTTACAATGTCATACGTATCTTTTGTGGCGTACAATGTTATACGGTGATTCGGAAAATAGGATCCTGGATTGATGTTATACCAGTTCCCTCGCGTCAGTCAGTAAAGTACTCAGATCTCGAGACTATTCCGGGACGTCACGTTCCACGGAGCGTATTCCAATATAACTAGTCAGGTCATAAGTATTGTCACACAGTAAAAACTTTTCTTTTAGGATGCTGGCCACAAAAAAGTTTATTGAATTCGAATTTCGAATTGTTCATGAAAATAAAAATGTATACCGTACAATGGGGTAAATAGGGACAAAATCGACCTTCAGATTGAATTTTAAAATAGTTCCAATTAAATAGTCACTGCTCAACCAAAGAAATAAGTTGAGTCTTGAACGTACCTAGGTGATAAAAACCGTTACATAATTTTAATTATTCATTTTAAAGAAATAATCGGTACAATAATGGCCGTCCCAATTTATCCAGCGTCCGGGGTAAATTGACACGGTTAAGGGTTAAATTGGGATATTTGTAAGGGTTGTCAACTCGCAGTACTGCGATATATAGGTAGGTGCCATATAATTATTCATATGGACCGAAATGATGAATACAATCCATAATTTAAGCACAATACACAACATAGTGTAAATTAAGCTGGTTTCTATTCCGAAGCGATGTGACGTGAATGATAATCAACAATACAATGATCAAAAAAAATATGTGCATGTTATATTTTAGAAAATTATTATTTCATTTCCTTAAAAATCACAACTCTGAAACAAAATGATAAAATAGAATAAAAAATAGAAAACAAAAGGACTGGAAATGCAATAATACAATTTTATTTAATCAACATTTTCAAAATAGTCTTTGAGCAAGAGTAAGATATCAGGTGAATAAGATAAAAAAACAGCTTTATCTGATTACTGCCAATAATAACAAAAATAAAAGAAATTCTTTCTAAGCTAAATAACTAAACTCAATTAATTCACTCACTCATAATTGGATATCTCGGATTTTTAATTAATGTTACATTTAAAATCTGAGGCCTGTTTTTATTTGTGTGNACTAGCAGTTCACTCTTCTTGGCATTGTACCTCAGCCCGTGGGACTCAGCATAGTTCTCACAAATTTTTAAAAGTTTCCTGAGTGCACTCATAGATGGGCTCAGCAATACCATATCGTCTGCATAACTAATATTGTTAAAAGAAACTCCATCGATCATGCAGCCGACACCCGCACTACTGAGCTCATCGATGAGCTTATTCATATATACCTATGCTAAATAGCAAAGGTGAGGTTAGACCCCCGGCCTCACACCACATTGTAAACGGTACGCATCAGAGTGCGCACCGGCCCATCTCACACTATTATTTTGATTGCCATACCAATACTGAAAAATTTTAATTAATTCAGGCGGCAGCTTTACTTCCCTAGCTAACTTATTCCATAGTAAATCATATCGAACAAGATCAAAAGCCCTGGACAGACCAGGAAACATGCGTACACAGGTGTCTTCCTCCCAGTATAATACTGCACAGTACTCTTAAGTGTCATTATCGCAGTATCAGTCGATAACCCATTCCTAAAACCAAACTGCCTATCATTAAGATGCACTTGTTTATTTAGGCAACTATTTAGTAAGCTATCCAAAATTTTAGCTGCAATTGTGGCCAAAGAAATCGGTCTGTAGTTATTGATGTTTGACAGATCACCTGTTTTGTTCTTGGGAATGGGCGTGACTATAGTCTTCATCATTTCC